TTTTAATTTTTTTTATTTTTTTTTTCGGCTACATTCGGTATTTTTAATATTTTAATAAAATTTTTATTTTTTTTTATTTTTATTTATTTATTATTTTTTTTTTTTTTTTTTTTTTGAAAATTTCCAAAATATGTTCCAAATGTTGTGGGTATTCAAAGTTCGACCCTGCCGAACTTACCGCCTTTTTACTTGTTCGTAGTTTAATTTTAAAATTTCATTTTATGCCCGCGAAAAATCAGCTTCGTGAAATGAAAACCCCTAACAAATATTATCCAATGGAAAACAAATTCGGTAACCCAAGCCAGGGGATGACAGTTTCATGAATCTATTATCCCTGGGGTATTTTTGCTGTCATTGGTTGTTAAGAATTTCCGTTTTTTCTATTGCTGCCTGTCTCAGAACTGAACATCGTTGTAGGTGGGAGATTTTGAAAATCAATTTATTTGCTTCATTAGCTGGAATAGATTTGAGATGCTTTATTAGAATGTTAAAAATTGTATCTGATAGGAGATTATATTACCTTGATTTATTGCCAGTTCCAATAATTAGCTGAGATTTTTTTGGTGGGGAATTTTTGAATATTTTTTTCACATTTTAAAATTACACCCTCAAATACTGAAAAAAATAAGTGATTTTATTTCCAAATGCCATGCTCCAAATGAAAACGCCAAGTTTCCGCTACATATTTTTCGGAACAACAAGTTCGGACATCAATCACCATGCATTTCCCGCAACTTTGTTTATTCCTGTTTAAAATTTTTGTCTGCCAGAGTCCTTCCACATAACCCCATTTTCTATTGCCTTTCTCTTGGCGCTGTAGTGACATTATTTCCTGTTTTTCCAACAAAGACTTGTTAGGCATTGTTTTGTTGTTGCCTATGTCCCCATCTTTTATTTTTTGTTGTTGTTGCAAAGGATTCATCCTTTTTTTCGTCTGCTTGCCTTGTTTTACGTTTGTTCACATGTCTCACAAATTAACCTAAATCTCGGCCAAAGAACATGGCGGTTGACATGCATATTAAAAGGTTGGATGCACACTCTCTCTCACACACACGCACACATGCAGATGGACATGTGAGGACATTCTTGGTGAGGACAAAACGGCAAGGACATTTTCTGACTTTGCTGCAATGCTGCTTATGTGATAATGGTTGACAAGATATTTTCCCGAGAATGTATGGGTGTTAACTTGCAGGCAATGGGAATCCCATGCCCTCCCCCCCTCACTGTTATGTGGCTGATGAAAAGCATGTCATTGTTGTCCAAGAAAAGTAGTTTTTGGAATGCATAGCTCTACTGATGATGGTTGAGTAACTAAATACTCCTTCGTTGAAGAAGAATCTCTGTCGGAGACAAGCCGCAAATTATGCCCCCTAGAAAATCCCAGGGCATCCTACACACATGGCTATTGTGCTCCTCCTCCTCCTCCTCGTGGAATCCAAAAATATGGAACACGGAAAACATTGTTGCCAAAGAAGAGTTTGTTGTCGTTGTTGTTCTTTTGCCAACTTCATTTGATGAGGCCACAGCTGATGCAGCCACGTCTTTTGTTTGTTCGTGGCGGCTGCTACGACTGCAGCTGCTTTACTTTGCCGTTCCTGCTGATGATAGGAACATGTTAACATTGTAATACATTGTTGCATTACAAGTCCTTATAATGAACGATAAAAGTTCTGGCCGAATAAACAAAGGAAGAACTACAAAACAAAGAAAGAAGAAGCAAAAGGAGGAGACAGCCAAAAAAAGTTGGTTTGGGAAAGGGAAAAAAATGTAAACAAGGTTGTCTATAGAGTGTTTACATTTTGGTGGGGGGCGAGGAGGGTCAGCAGGGATCCTCAATTGCCTGAGATTAAAATTCACTTTTAAACTCATTAATGTCCTTGAAAATTGTTCTAAAAAGTTCTCCTTAAAATATTCTTCAGAAATCCACCTCCTGGTGGTCCAAAGTTCCTCTGGAAAATCTCTTCAAAAATCCAAGCTCTGATGCCCAAAAATTTCTCACAAAATTATTTTTAGAAATCCATGTTTTTATGGTCTAAAGTTCATTTTGAAAATCTTCCGTTTCCTCTTGGAACTTCACTTTTGGGTAGTCTTAAGTTTCCCTTAAAAATCTACGTCTTGGTAGTCAAATGTTCCTTTTGAAAACTCCTTAAAAACACGTTTTGGTGCTCTGAGGGGTCCCCTTTGAAATTTCTCCTTTTGATAGTCCAAAGAAGAAAATTTACGGTTACGTGGTCCGAAGTTCGTCTTAAAACCCCATCTTGGTGGTCCAAAGTTTGTCTTAAAAATCCAAGTCATGGTGGTCTTAGATTCCCCTGGAAATAGGTTGTCCATAGCGCCATCTTTATAATCAAAATCTTGTTGGACCATAGTTTCTCCTAAAAATCCTAGCCTTGGTGGTCTACAGTTCCTCTTAAAAAGTCAGGTCTTGGTCTTCTAAATTTTCCCTAGAAAATCCACGTTTGGCCGTCTACAGTTCCTCTTTATAATCAAAACCTTGGTGGACAAAAGTTCCTCTTAAAAAAAACAAAGTATTGGTGGACCATAGATCCTCTGGAAAATCCAGTTCTTGGTCATCTAAAGTTTCTCTAGAAAATCCACGTTTTGAGGATCTAAAATTCCTCTGGAAAGTTAAGTGGTCTAAAGTTTCCCTTGAAAATCCACGTTTTGTGGATCTCAAGTTCCTCTGGAAAATTCATGTTTGGTAGTCTAAAGTTCCTCTTTAAAATCCAGGTCTTGGTCTTGGTTTTCTGGTCTTAGGTTCTTTTTGCAAATCCATGTTTTTTGGATCAAAATCACCTGTTGAAAATCCTCTTTTTGGTGGTCTAATTTTCAAAATTCTTTCAAAAATCCACGTTTTGTTCGTTTAAGTTCCTCATAAAAATCCACGTTGTAGTTACCTAGACTTCCCCCTCAAAATTCCTGTTTAAAATTCATGTTTTGGAAATCCCCCTTGAAAATCCACGTTTAGGCAGCCTAAACTTCCCCCTGAAAATCTATGTTTTAATGGTTATAAGCTCTTCTTCGAAATCCCTGCTTTGCTGATCAAAATTTCCTGTGGAAAATCCTCTTCATTTTCTCTTGAAAGTTATTTTAAAAATCCACATTTTGGTAGCCAAAAAATCCTCTTGAAAATCCACGCTGTTATGGTCCAAAACTTTCTTTTCAAACTATTTTCAAAAAAATCTAATTTTTTCGTTTTTTGCCTTATAAATGTACTCTACAAATCCACGTTTGCATGGCCAAAATTTCCACTTGAAAAAATTCCAAAAATTCCTCCAGAAAATATTTTTAGAATCCTCTTTTGTCAGACTGAAGTTCCTCTTCAAAATACTCTCAAAAATTCAAAGTTTAGTGGCCTAAACGACCTCCTCAAAAATTAAGATTTTGCTGCTCGAAAATTCCTCCTAGAAATATTGTTAAAAATCCTTTTGCAGATATAGTTCAGATTCCATTTTTAGCTGTCTGAAGTCTTCTTGAAAATATTTTTTTAAAATCCTTTTTAAAATGTGCTTCAGAATCCAGTTTTAGCTCTTTGAAGTCTTCTTGAATAAATTTTTAAAATCCATTTGCAGATATACTTCAGAATCAATTTTTAGCCGTTTGAAGTATTTTTGAAAAAAAAAATTAATTCACGTTTTGGTGGTCGAAAGTTTCTTCTGGAAATATTCTTTAAAATCCCCTTTAAAATATTCTTCAAAATCCCATTTTAAATCAGTCTAAATTTCTTCTCAAAAATACCTTAAAAAATCCAGCGTTAGTTTCCGCTTAAAAATATTCTTAAAAAATCCATGTTTGGCCAGTTTCCTCTCCTGAAAATATTTTCAAAAGTCAACGTTTGAAGTTTTTCTGTTCCCCTTGAAAATTGTCTTAAAATCCAGATTTTAGACTCTAATGGATATCTTTAAAAAATTGCTCCAAAATCTTAGTTTTAGATGTCTGAAATTCTCTTCAGAATGTTCTAAAAACTCCAAAGCTCCGTTTTCTGATGTTGCTCTTCAAAATTGCCTTACAATACACATCTTAGTATTTATGACACCTTTCAAAATATTCTCAAAAATCAAAAATTGCCATGGTCTTTTGGGTCTCTTGAAAATTATCTCACAAAATCCCCGTTTTAGGGTTCTGATTCTTCCCTTGAAAATATTTTTAATGTTCGAGGTTTAAGGGCACTGGAGGATATTTTCACATTATTCTTAAAATCTTGGTTCTAAATTATTGAGATTCTCTTCAAAATAATCCTAAAAATTCACGTTTTCGGTCCAGATTTTACTTTACAAATTGATACTCTTCAGATATCAACGTTTTTTTTTTTTAATCAGATGGTTTCTTTCAAAATATTCGTATGATTCCACGTTCAGTAGTCTGTTGATGCTTTTCAAAAAATTCATACAAATCCAAGCTTTTAGTTTCAGATAAATCTGCTTAAAATATTCTTCCAGTGGCATGTGGGACTTTCAAAAACTCCAAGTATTGTGACGCTTTTGGTTCTCCCAAAAATATTCTTAAAAACCTCGTTGAAGAGGTCTTATTGTTTCTCTTGAAAACATTCATAAATATCTACGGTTTAATGTTTGTTTGTTGGTCCACTTGAAAATATTTCCAAATACTCCACATTTTTAGGAGTCTTATCATCTTTTTAAGATACTTGAATATTTTCCAGATATACTTCTTAAATTTGTTATTTGTTTTTAACGCCGCCCTGGCGTAGAAAATCGGAATTAAAATTGTTGTTGTAAACATTGTAATGCCTATGGTGAAGATGGCGCTGAAGTCACGGCGAATATGATAAACAACTCCCAATCTTCAAACCATCAATGCTGGCTTCGTGAAATTTGCTTCGGCGAAAATCAAAATGAAACCGAATTCTATTTCATATTTCAATAATGTCCAAAGATTTTGCATTTTCGTACTGTCTTTAATTTGAGTGCTCAACGAAGCTTCTTCTATCTCTCATTCTGACGACAGATATTTAGTTTGAGAAAATTCTACAAGAAAAATTTATTAAAAATATGCAAAAACATTTAATTTTAATACCATATCTTTAGATTCTTCCCCATTTTATTACTCTATGGATTTGAACTTAAAATCTAATCATCCTCCTCTTCGTCATCATTATTTGCTTTTGTCTTTAGGCCACCAAAAACTTTGGCTGGTATTGATTTTTGTTCAATGCGCAATTTTTTCATGACATTATCATTGTCATCCTTGCGTGTGGCCTTTGAGTTGTCATTGCCATTGGTGCCATCATCATCATCACCATCCTCCTCCTCATCATCTTCATCCTCACTATCACCGATATCAATTTCATCGGGATTAACAACTTTATCTCTGGCCGCACCACCTTGAGTTTCGCCGCGTACAAACATAATATTGCTGGCCCCAGAGGGTTTGGGTGGTTGTGGCGGAAGTTTCTGTTGTTGAGTGGCCGCCGCCTCGGTGGCCTTTGCATCCAGTTGACGCATGGCATCGGTACCAGCGGCATCTGCCGGGGCATTGGAGGTCATAAATTGGGCAGCCATCATATTTACTTGGGTATTATAAGTGGCCTGTACGGAGCGTTTAATGCGCAACATTTCACGCATGGTATCCTCATTGCCATGGCGTACCTCAAACTCTTTCCAGGTTTGCCAGAATTCGGCCGTAATACGGGGATCACAGACCTGGTAAAAAAAATACAACAAAAATTAATAATTTATTGGAGAAGAAAGAAGTCTCAACCCACCTGAGAACAATGGGCATAAATTGCCCGGGCTCGATCAATTTCACCCAGTTTCGTTTCCATTTCAGCAAAACGCACACACATTTGACGCATATTCTCCTCGGGCAATGTTTCAATGGCCTTTTCATAAATCTCCCTGGTCCTGGGCAAGCCATAAATCTCGGCAGCTTTTTTCACAAAGATATTATACATATCATACATTTCCTCAGGCTTAACGGCACTGGTGGCCCTATCATATACCGCCATGGCATGTCTTGCCAAGCCATGATCTTCTTCCAATTTGGCATACAACAAATAGAAATACTTGGCATGTTCAGGTGGGCAATTTTCCAGGCATTGTTCAAACAAATCACGTGCCCGTTCCAATTTGGAGCCACCATAACGTTTTAAGAACTTGGTCAAATAGGCATTCCAAATGTCATAGACATTGGGCCATTTGAAGAGGGCAATGCCCTTTTCATAGGCCCTGAAGGCTTCCTCAAAGTAGTTGTGCTCCTCCAAAAAGAGGCCATAATTGATGATGATCTGGGGGGTGCAAATTTTCAAATCTATAATGCGATCATAGACCGCCTTACAGGTCTTGAAGGTGCCAAAGGACTCCTCCAAATCGGCATACATAGACCACACCTTGAGAGATTTGTAGAGGCGCATTTGCACCGTCTCCGCATCATCATGATAGGCCACCTTGCGTTTGGGCATGACGGTGGCCCTTTGCATCAACTTCAAGGCCTCCTCAAAGTTTTCTTGTCGTATTTCCATTTCAGCCCATTCACACCAGACACTGGCCAAGTCATCCACCTTGACATACTCCACTTCGGTGGCCCGCTCGAACACCACCCGGGCATCATCTACTTGGCCATTGGATTCATAGAATTTGGCAAATTCCACCCAAAGGGTATGCAATTTTCCCACGGCCAATTTGGGTTGTACCGTCTGGACAGCCTCGGTGTAGGTGTTGATGATTTCATGGGGTTTGTCCTCATAGAGCTTGACACGTTTATGCCACTCGTGGACATTGTGGGGATTTTGCCGCAATAAAACGGAATTTAGTAGCAGTAAACGTCTGTCCATCAAATGTTCGAAACGGGCCAGACGCAATTCAACATCAATATCATCTTCCTCGGTGGCCTCAGGATCATTGGCCACCATTTCCATGCGTTTATTCAAAGAGAGTTCCTCAAACTGGGCATATTCATCAAAGACCTGGGTAAAGTCACGCACCGTGCGCACGGTTTGTATGGCTTCTTCGTAGATGTCACGGGCACGATCAAACAGGCCCGAGCGTACATAGTAATCAGCCAGGCAGTTCCACAAGTGGCCCAATTGGTCGGTATATCTAACAAGGAAGAATAATTTAAAAATGTTTCAAAAAAGTAATTATTTGCCTTACCTCCTCAACCCTCCCCTTATAATGGCATCCACATTCAACGAGTGCACCTTATCCGGATTCTTTGAAATCAATTCACACAACTCCGTCCACAATTGATGACTCGATTTGCCATGTTTCGAGGCGAAATGTTCATTATCTACAATACTGGCCAACTGCTGGGCAGCATCATCCAAACGATTAACACTCAACAGATATTCAATGTACTCCTCCGCATCATCGGGTGCCAGCTTCAAATAACGGCGAAACACCCTAACGCCCGTTTCGGGTATATCGAATTTCTTAACAAATTTCAAATATAATGGCCAAATACGATGATGCTGTGTCACCGGCAATGCCCTCAAGGCTCTGTCGAACACATGACGCGTGCGGGTAATCTTGCATTGCAGTGTCATAAAACTTCCATAATCCATCCAAATACGTGGCATTTTATGCATAAACACCAATGCCCGTTCAAAGGTATTGTTCACCTCTTCGTACATGGGATCTGTGATGCATTTGCCGCGAACCTGCTTCCTGCGGGTACGCAAGTAGTTATACCAAATCTTGTAACTTCCCGGCAGTTCTTTCAGAGCCCGTTCGTAAACAATATTCACAGCATTGTTGGGTGCCCGCGCCTTGTGATCTATGTAACGTAGCCAATGTTTCACGGAATAGGCATTGCGTAGAATCTCCTCTTCATAGGGTACATCTTCATCCGGCTAAAGTAAAACAAAAACGGAAGATATCAGGCATGTGGAGTAGGCTTTGGCTTTACTATACTTACAAAATCAATTTCCATCAAAAGAGATGGTACTCCCGTTATGGTCATAATTTAGTTATAGAATTTGAATATATTTCTGTTCCTTTTTCCGCAAATTCCAGGATTGTCCTTCTCCACAACTTTCTCGGGGTAAACGTTCACAAACACGCCAAAAAAACACATTCATTCACACACACAGGGGGAAGAAGAAGCATAGCTGCCAAAACCTTATGTTACGAATAAGGGGCGAAGCAAAAAGCCCAAAAATTCATGTTACGAATGAAGGAAGAGAAGAAAAATGCCAACAGCTGATTAAGCAATGCTTAGCACAAGGGGTGTTCATTGGGCGAGATTTCCAGTGAAAGCACAATATTTGCTTGATTTTTAATAAATCTCTTATTAAAAAAACAATTCAATTGTTTGGAGAAACCAAGAAATTAAAAATAAACGTAAAGGAATGTTTAATTTTGCGATAATAATTAGATTGCCGATAAAATGTTTTACTGGTTCTTTTACAGTGAACCAACTGAAGTGTAGTACACACTATCGATCATAAATAACAAACTTTAAACTTTTGTATATTTGTATTGAAATAACATTAATTAAATATTTTTTTAACTTCAAAATTTAAAAGAATCCTTTAATCATAACAGATTTTTTCAATATTTTTTGTTATAAACCTCATAAGAACCTCTAAAATAAGTTTCTGTGACTATTTATTGAAAAAGTAACTTTTCTATGAGAAATATTTAAAAAAAACAACTTCTTAAATTTTTTTCGGTAATACTGCTATTCAGCCATGTTAATTTAATGAAAATGAAAAATATATTTGGTTTTTTAACGAAAAAGCTCAATACGCAATGTTTTTTAGGGAAAACTCAATTCGCTGTATTTTTCTGAAGCATAATTTGATTATCTCTAAAAGATTCTTCAAAAAAATTCTATTGAAGGACCAAATCCTAGCGTTAATATCCTTAGACTAAAAGTCATTCCGAAAATTTAGTCAAAAAATCCAGGTTTCAGGCTGTATAAGTCCTTAAGAAGATCGTTTGACCTTTCTTCCTGTAGAACTTACCCATGGTACAATAAGGAGGTAGAACAGCTTCGTAAAACTACTGAAATACAGCTCCATTTTCTGTATTTTTCTGGAGCAAGCTTTGATTATTTCTAAAAGATTCTTAAAAAAAATCTATTGGAGGTCCACATCCTAGCGTTAATATTCTTAGACTAAAAGTCATTCCGAGATTTTAGCCAAAAAATCCAGGTTTCACGCTTCAAAAGTCCTTTAGAGGATCGTTTTGTCTTTCTTCCTTTAAAGCTAACACATGGTACAATAAGGAGGTAGAACAGCTTCGTAAAACTACTGAAATACAGCCCTGAGGCTATACCAGCTTCCTGTCAGAATCATTCAAAATTAAAAAGTTTTTAAAATTTCCAAATTTGTGACTGTGAATGTCCTTTAAGAAGTCCACCCTTAAAATCCACTTTTGTGACTGTCGAAGTTCTTCAAAATTGTCTCTTAAAACATTTAAATATTTGCGGTTCTGGATGTCCATTAGAAAATCTTCCTAAAAGTCGTTTTGCGGCTATGGAAGTTCTTTTGAAACTCTTCTAAAATTTTGACTTGTGTGGTTTTATTGGTTCCACTAAACTTCCCATTCATGTGGTCAAGGCCAAGCTGCTTATAACCTAACATTAAGGGCGAAGTACATAATAGGGTTGTTGACTGGCTTAATGTGGCGTTTCCACTGCACTTGATTCGCTCTCTATTCGTTGTTTGGCCCTTAACTATGAAAAAACTACCTAATTCTTCACACAAAATTTCCTGAGCGAACACTTATATTTGTACGTTGTTCAAATCAAATCACTCTCAGAACAACGAAAAAATATGTCCCATCCCTAACAAATGAGAGCATTTATCGAAAAATAAATTATGACATTTAAAAATTAGAAATAGGAAAATTTAATGAAATTTTAAAATTTTTGGGGAAGACTGAAAATTATGAATGAAAACTACAATGTTGAATGGCGTATGTACATTCAAACGAAAGTACATTTTGTTTTCTCTCTCATCCGGGGTACGCATTTTGTCCACGAGTTGAAATTTCCACAGAAAACTGGAAACAAAAGATGCAATATTTTCAAAATGTTTGTGTCGGCAGAAAAAAAGTTTAACAAGTGTCTCTCCAGCAGAATTTGAAAATAGAAAAATACTAAAATATGTCCAAAATGTCAACATTTACACAAAAAGTTGAAAACATGAACGAAAATTGTAAAATTAATGATATAATAAATCTTTGGGAGGAAAACAATAATTCTTCTATTCATATTAGTGTGAATTTAATGTATTTTCGTAGAAATTCCCATTTAAATTAAACAAACAAAATTTTTGAAAAAGGAATTATTTTACTATAAATTACGAATTGTGCCGTATGAACGGGTTAATTCGTGTACGTGATTCTGAGAGCAAACAACGTCATTCAATTTATCGTGTGAACATGCTATAAGTCATTGGCTGGCTTCTTGGTAGAGGAACAAAGGAGTTTTAGGTTGATTTAGTTCGATTTCGGCCCTGGGCTCCTTTGTTCTTTTCCGAAGAAGTTAGCTGACTTAAGCCAGTCAGAAAAACGTTTAATGTATTCTCACCTTTTTACTGGATCTGAAATTCATTAAGCAATAGCTTGTCTTCCAAACCGTTTAGATAGATATGCTTTCTAGAACTTAGATGTTAAATGCTATAGAGTCTGTACACCAGAACGGCTCTGTGTGTTTCTTTATAATTTGACATTTCCAACGCAAGCGAAGAGCTCACTGGCATTCACTTTAAACATCTCTGGGTGAAGACAATTTGTCTTGAATAAAAGACAGGGGCTGGATTCTTGTTCTATGAAAATATGAAATGAAAGACATTTCCTTTATCATATTTTTCATTTGACATTTCTTTCCTCTATAAAAGATTTCATTTCACAATTTTCATAGAACGAGAATTGAGGCCCAGGTTATTATACCAAGACTATTTGGTAGTGTGAACACCCCTTGTGCAACGTTCGTACACATTCTCTCTCGATGACGATAACGGTAAAAGAGCTACGTGCTCCCCCATCTCCAATGCAAAGGATTTCTCTCCCTCGCTCCCTACCAATTGATGTTATCGAACAACTATCGATTGTCCCCCAAGTCACAATTCGATCTACTCACCCCTACACTTGTAAAAAAGTGACAGATGAAATTTTTCGTCAATAAGGAAAAACACGATTATTTTCACGAGAAAATTTGTAACCAAAAATTCTAAATTTCGAGCTGTTCGTAACGCATTGTTTCGCCAAAAAAAAGTGTTGATAAAATCGTGGAAAATTTAAACAAATAAAAGAGCTGTGTTGTTTGGAAGAAATATAATCTTTACGCAATTCCTGACGGAATATTACCCCCCTTAAAACCCCCGCCCACCCACACAACGTGATATTTACACTTTACTGTTGTTATCATTGGGGATTGTGAAAATATCAAGAAGGAAGCAACAAATCCACTCACTTGAAGGAAGAATAATAAAAACGAGATAAGCCAACGAAGAAAGAAGAACAAGACAAAGGAGAAAAACGAATGGTAGTGTTGTTGTTTGTGGGCTAAAATACGAGTAACGAGACGTAATCTACGTAGACGACAGAATCGTCCCCATCATCATCATCGGCAGCAAAAAAAAAATAAAAAATCACGGTGATTTTTCTGTATTGTATTTCGTGTGGTGGAGTTCGTCTCATCGTTGTTGTCACTTTTTCTTTTAATTCGGGGGAGCCAAGCTACCTATCATCCATGCAACAACAAGAAAAACAAAAACAATAATCGAATCGCTGTGTCGAAATCAACCCGTAAATTGTTCTGATTGCAAATTATTGTTTCTTTCTTTTCGTGTCGTTTGGTCTGCGCGAATGATGAGCAGCAGTGTCATTTTCAACCGGGCAGCAAATGAAAGTCAAGCGGTTTTAAGTGTTCGTCGTTGTCTGTAAATGAAAAGTTTTTTAAAAAAGTGTCGTTTTATTTATTAAATTAAGAAAGTGTGTGTTGTAGAAATTTTGTTTTGTTTATTAAATTTATATAAAAAAATTGCGAAAATGGTTCGTTTGAAACACTTGTAAAACAAATATCAAAAAAATCCGTGGAAAATTGTTTAACAATTTTCTTTTTATTATTAAAATAAGGTACGTATCTATGCTATAAGAAAATTAACAATTTCATCATAATTTTTGTTTTTTCCAGTCTCATTTTTCATCTGTTTCCATCTTCCTTATTTACTTCCTTATTGGGAAAAATCGATTTCACCAGAACACGCACAAACAATTGCTTGCGAAAAATACCAACAAATCTTTGTTTTTGTTGTTATTTTCCGTCTATACTTACTACCCCAACATGTTAGCTTGCCATTTATTATAATCTATCATTTTGTGTTTTGCTTCGTATCCTTAATGTCACACCCGGCTTTTCCATTGTTGTTATTATATTTTTTCGTCCTTTGCCAGACGGCGGCCACCTCGCCTTCTTCCCCATGCCATTGGATGAAAATACTTATTGCGTTCTAATTGGAAAATTGTCGGCATTACATATAGAGGATATTTCAAGGAAAAACAAAATAATTTTTGTTATTTTCTACATGGAAATGTTATGGGGCTTCGGCAATAAGAGACCTTAGGACACTTGTCTATAATTACAAGAACCGAAAACGTTCAGTAGAAACGAATTTTATTCTTATAAGATTTAAATAAGTATTTTTTATCTATAAAAGAAATCTAGAAGTCCTGATTAATTTTTCTATATTTTACAGCCTTTTGGCAAGAATTCTTCCCAAGGAAGTCCCAGAGGATGTATTTTATAGAAGACATGAGAAATTTTATTTATATCTAGAAGGCATTTGGAATATACTCTATTGTGGAAACTAAGAATGAGAAAACTGATTAGATATCATTTAGAAAAATGCAAGGGTGTGACTCCTTATCGCAAGATAATAAATGAGTGTGCGTGCTACCTTATTATTGACCCAAGTCCTTATCCTCGTAGCCTCGAAAGAGGGATAGCATGTGCTCCATCGTTACCTTTTCTAGGTTTCAAAGAAATCCATTTCGAAATATATACCCGGCCATTAATTACATTGGTTCTATGGATTTTTATATACAAAAACTGCAGATTGGAAACATTTTCCAGCTCCATAGAGGATCCAGATACAGGACCCCAGATTCGTAATCCTCAATAAAGAATCCTAGATCCTGAAGGTCTTCTGTTTAGAAAAGGTATATTCTTATATTGGTCTTCTATAAGACATTTTAAATATTTTATTCCCTCTAGAGGATCTCCTGATCGTATCGATGATTTTAAAGGACCAACAAATCCACAAAAGTGGACATTCCAAAAAAGTTCCCAAAGAACTCCCAAAGTCATTAAATGAGAGACTAAAAAAAAGGAAGGGCATACAGAGCCACGTGGTATTTTAAGAAAATTTTCTAATGGACATCTAGAGCCACAAATGTTTATGTTTTAAAGAAATTTTGCTAAAGCACCTTCAGAGCTCCAATTGTAGACTTTAAAGGACGATTCCTGCAAGAAATTCAGTTATAAAATCCAGTAAGGAAAAGTCAAAAGTCGGCGGGTGGGGTCGACTTTATGATACCCTACAACACAATGTATATTAAGCAAAGCTCGTACTTGCTTCTAGACTAAATTCGGTGGGATGTTCCAAAATCCAGGTCATTTGGACTGATATTGGTCATTTGGTACATAATTAACCCGAAATCGGTTGAAGATATTTATGGGAGCTATATCCAAATCTGAACCGATCTTGACACATTTTGACAGAGGTATTTTTGGGCTGTATCTGATATCTGATATCAATTATCATTGTTGTCGAATACATATTACGAATGTGAAGGACTTAAACAGCAAATCCGATGAAACATATGTATGGGAGCTATAGCTATATCGGAACCGATTTTCTCCAAATTTGATGTACTTGCTTCTAGACTAAATTCGGTGCGATGTGCCAAAATCCAGGTCATTTGGACTGATATTGGCCATTTAGAGCACAATTAACCCAAAATCGGTTGAAGACATATATGGGAGCTAAATCCAAATCTGAACTGATCTTGATCAAATTTGGCAGAGGTATTTCTGGACTGTATCTGATATCAGGTACCAAATATCATTGTTGTCGAATACATATTACGAATGTGAGGAACCTAAACACTAAATCGGATGAAACATATATATGGGAGCAATATCTATATCTGAACCGATTTTCTCCTAATTTGATGTACTTGCTTCTAGACTGATGGATTTCGAAAATCTTGGATTTTAAAAATGCCTTTATTTTAAAGATTCTACCACCGGTCTATTTTTCAGGAGAGGGGACTTTTGGTATTTTGAAAGTTTCTCTAGATTTTTGATTTGGCCTTGCCAACAAATGTTCTTGTGAATAGGTGTATTTTTTTAACCTTTACGGAATTTTCCGATCCTCTAAAATTGTTGCTCTTTTATTAACAGACATTAATCCCAAATCAACGTGTATCACCAGCAAACAATTTTTCCCATTATGCACTTGTATTTTCTTAGAATTATTAATTTCACATAATTGATATTTTCTTACTCAGTGCCTGCCTACCTAGTCATTCATACCCATTATCTCACGACATTCCTACGTAGACATGATGCGCCCAGACATGATATAATGATAAATGAATTTCCAGCTATAAATAGAATTGTTTATAATTTTTAAAATTTTGCATAGAGATAATTATTTTCTTTCAAATTTTTCTTTACTTTTTTGATAAAAACCCAAAAAAATAATGGGGAATCCCAGTAACAGCTGTTATCTTAATCTTTTCATTTTCATTTCTCCATCTCCCAGAGAATCACAACAAAGTCCATTCTCATTTGACATTTCTCCTTTTTTGATAATCACATGTGCCTAATAAAGGAAAAACAACAAAGTTAAAAAAAAAATACATATTCATTGTTTAACTAAAAAATATTGTTTTATGGCTGGCCAATTTTGCTTATAAATAGAATGACTCATATGTTCTATTAGTCCATAGTGGGGCTGTTTTTTGCTATGTTTTGTTTTGATCATTCCTTCTATTCCAAAGTTTCTTTCTCTCTCTCTCTGTGTAGTAGGGTATTTCTTTTAATTTGTTTTGTTTAATATCTTTGTTTACCGCCATAAAATTACCTCAAGGCAGTTGGCTGACAGAGTTCTTCTTTATTGCCACATATTACTGTGTGTTGTGGTGGAGTCTCTTTGTCACCTCTCTCTCTCTCTCATTCACACACAACTAAACTTTAGTTGACTCAACATAATTTGGCAAACGAAACAATGAGCCACCAACAATAAAGCTTAATTATTCCCCATACAAATCGACACAGTTACTTAACTCTCCACATTCTCAGTCCATGGAGAGAGAGTGTGATCATAACACACAGTAATGTTAGTGTTGTTATTGCCACTAGTATGGTGATATTTTGCCATAGTCGTTGTTATTGCTTGCGACTTAATTACAATTACCGGCAAATGTGTGTGGTAGGTTAGAAAGAACAAGAATCAAAACAAATACTCTTCTCTTTGCCCATGCACGAGTAACCAAAGGTGTTGTTGCTGCTGCTACTGCATTCATTTCAAATGTGTTGTTATGAAAATAAAAAGTGGGGCCTGCTTAATTCTGCCATGATCTGCCTGTTGAATGCTCGTTTTAGAAGGGGTTCGTTGCTGTTCTACATTAAAAATTCTTTGTAAGTGTATGTGGAGAAAATAAAAGCAGAGAAAATCTATGTCTTGAGTTTGATATTTGAGACATCAGTCAGCCAGCGTGGCTGGCTAGCTTGCCGGCCGGTCTGCCGCTTGTATAAATATGATGGAGTTGTAAACACAACTCCTTAGTTGTTAAACAAAAGCCAAACTCGTACCACCTCAGTCAAACCAAAACAAAACTGCATTGTGAAAAGTTTTAAATCTTCCGTCAAGGAAAAGTCAAGAAAGTTCTATAATTTTTTTTAAATGTGCCAACCACAAATTGTCATATTTAATGGATACCTTAATCATCTGGAAAATTATCGCATAAAATTTTCCCAATTATTTTTTGAAATATCCTAGGAGGAAAACCAACCTCCTCCCCCTAGAGTGAGAGACTCTTGGAACTCTTTGCATGTGAGAGATGATGCAATAATGGAAATTTATTGCCAGTTTTGGTGAAGAAATTTTTTGAAAAAGAAAATTTCCACCCATTGGAATGAGGTAAAGAAAAAAAAATTATTAAAAAACGGGAGAAAAGTTAAAATACGAGAAAAAAAGTTGTGATTATAATTTTTGTAATTTTTGAAGTAAAGTGGGAAATGTTAATTGCAACAATTATAAAAAAATAACTTTTTTTCGGAAAAATAAGACCCTGAGGTTCTGAACTTTTTCTCATTAGCAAAAATTAAATGAAGTTTATTATTTTTAACAAAAAAAAAAAAAAAAAATATATATATATATATATATATATATATATATATATATATATATATATATATATATATATATATATATATATATATATATATATAAAATAAAAATAAATAATTGAAAATATTTTAAGAGACAGTGAGTTTTTATAACTGAAAGAATTAGCTCCAGAAAATTTAAATATTTTTGCAACAGAAAAGAATAGACCAAACTGAAATCAATCTTCAGAAATTTGGATTTTTTTGGGAAATTTTCAATGGTAAAAATAGATCCGGGGAACGTTGAATTTTTCTAAAAAAACAACGCCAAGGAGTTTTTTATTTTTAACAAAAAAAAAAAAAAATAATTATAATAAATAATAATAAATAATAAATATATAAAAATAAGTTAATAAAAATATAGATAGACCCATAGTTCCTTTTGGTGATCTTCAAAGCATCACCTTGTGAGTCGATATATTCCCTTCCGCCTGTCCATGTATTTTTGCTATTTATTGTCCGATTGAGATGAAATTTTGCTCAAATAATTTGTTTGGCCCAAGGACGAACCCTGTTAAAGTTGATTAGAATCAGCCCAAATTTAGATATAGCTCCCATATATATCTTCGCCGGATTTGCCGTTTAATGCTCAACAAATGCGAATGGAATTTGGCAAATGCCACCATATTAAGCCTAGAAGCAAGTATGTCAGATTTGGTGAAAATCGGTTCATATAAAGCTATAGCTCCCATATACATTGTTCCTCCGATATGGGTTTTTCAAGTCTATCACATTCGTAATGTGCACTTCGCATCAATGATATTTTGTATCATATATCAACAACAGGTCAGAAATACCTCTGATAAATCTTATAGGGATCGGTTCGGATTTGGGTATAGCTCCCATTTTTATAGCTTTAATCGATTTTGGGTTTATTGTGCACCAAATGGTTATTAACAGGCTAAATTAAATAGATTTTGGTACATACTAGCGAATATATCCTGGAATTTATATAACCTGTGGTCTGACTGATTTTTTGTAGATTTTTTTTAAATTTTTTTAAAAATTAAAAAAAACCAAAAATTTTTTCAGAAGAAAATCGAACCTGAATTTCCGGTGATTTTTTTCTTAGCCTTTTAATATTAATCTGTGGTCAGTATAATTTTTTTAGAATTTTTTTTTAAAAAAAAATATTTTTTAGAAAAAAAATTCGGACCTGAATTTTCGATGATTTTTTTTCTTAGCTTTTTTTAAAATTGACCTTTGGTCAGTATAATTTTTTTAGAAGCTTTTTTTTGTAAAAAAAATCGGACCTGAAGTTCTGGTGAATTTTTTTATATTGATATATATTTTTTTTATTAAAATATTAAGAATCTTTAATGGTAGAAGAAAGAAAGTACATTAAATTGGGAGAAAATCGGTTCAGATATAGCTATAGAGCATCCATATATATTGTTCCTCCGATACTTAAACACCACAAGTCCCTCACTTTAGTTATATGCACTCTGCATCAATGATATTTTGTATCAGATATCCAATACAGGTCAGAAATGCCTCTGCAAAATTTTATCGAGATCGATTCATATTTGGATATAGCTTAAAATATATTTTAACCGATTTGAGGTTTTTTGTTCACCAAATGGTTAATAGCAGGCCGAATCAAATAGATTTTGGTACATACGAGCGAATATATCCTGGAATTTATATAACCTGTGGTCTGGGTAATTTTTTGTAAAATTTTTTTAAAGAAATTTGTTTAAATATTTTTTCGTTAGAAAAAAATCGGACGTGAATTTTAGTGATTTATTTTTCTTAGCCTTTTAATATTAACCTGTGGCCAGTATAATTTTTTTTTAATTTTTTTTTGAAAAAAATTTTTAAGAATTTTTTTTGTTAGAAGAAAATCGGACCTGAATTTTCGGTGATTTTTTTTAGCCTTTTAATATTGACCTGTGGTCAGTATATATTTTTTTTTAAAATTTTTTTTAAAGATTTTTTGTGTAGAAATATTTGTGCACCAAATGGTTGATATCAGGTCAAATTAAATCCATTTTGGTACATACGAGGGAATATATCCTGGAATTTATATAACCTGTGGTCTGGGTAATTTTTTGTAGAATTTTTTTTATTTATTTTTTTCAATTTAAGATCTTTTAATATTAACTTGTGGTCAGTATATTTTTTTTTCGATTTTTTAATTTTTTTTTATTTTTTTTTTGTTAGAAAAAAATCAGACCTGAATTTTTGGTGATTTATTTCTTAACCTTTTAATATTAACCTGTGGTCAGTATAATTTTTTTTAGAATTTTTTTAAAAGATTTTTTTTTTTGTAAAAGAAATTGGACCTAAAGTTCTGGTGATTTTTTTTCTTAACCTTTTAATATTGATATTTATTTTTTTTTTATAAAATATTAAGAATCTTTAATGACAACAAAAAAATTATGATATACCATCGAAGCTCATATCGGAGCATTGTTATTTTTTTTTTTTTTGCTATTTCCCATTATTGGCCACCTTATCTTATCAAATGGGTTCCCTCTTATCGTCATAGTTAACATCCACTTCTAAATTCAATTTTTTTCTATTCAATTTTTTTTTTATCTGAAATAACACTCTTTGAATGACGATGACTTGCCTTTCGGATGATTTCACATTTAGATGACAAAAAACGGTCCCCCAACTTGCCTTTCCAAACCGCTGAAGTTTTGAGCAGAAGACGAGTCAAAATCTGGCGACAGTAGACTTGGTGGCATGTCTGTCTGGTGGCGTTGGGTATTTTTCCATTCATACATTTTCTTTACACACACACACAAACACATGTTTTGCCGGTTTTGTTTATTTCAGCTGAAGTCCCTCATTCTCCCTCCCGCCCCCAGCACCGGCTTTTGGGCAAGGTAACATTTTCACACTACGGCCTGCCTGCCAGCCGGTTGCAAATTTCATGAGCAGATTCCATGGTGATGGATATTTGTTTATACACCAGTCAGCCGGAGTTTTCATTTCGTATCAACTTTTGTTGCTGCAGTCTCGTTTTTTCTTTCGTAGATTATTCTGCTGATGGTGTTTACATTCCAAACGACGAATGTTTGTTGTACCCCCATTTCCTTATAGTCTCCGGTTGTTTTGTGGCATTGTGTTGAATTTTCATTTGTTTGTTTGCCGGTCTCCATAGAATGCATTTCGAGTCAGTTCCCCATTCTCCGCTGTTTAGCAGTGTGCCTCTTCTTCGTCTTTTGCAGTTAATGTTTATTCTAGAATTGTTCCAGAGAAAACTAGAAATTGAAGTTTTTCATTTCAGTGGTGGCAATGAGTTTTCTTTTCGGTTAGGTTATAAGAGGAGAGAGGGAGGAACGAGAAAAGACAATGTTTTAAAAAAAATTAATTTTTTCTACACCCCTGAGACCTGAGATAACTCTTTTTTCACCTCAGGCAGCTAAGGTAACTTTTTTCTATGGAAAAAACTCACCTCAGGGGCCGAGGTAATATTTTTTCTATGGAAAAAACTCACCTCAGGGACTTGAGGTAATATTTTTTCTATTAAAAAAAAACTCACCTCAGGGACCTGAGGTAATATTTTTTCTATGGAAAAAACTCACCTCAGGGACTTGAGGTAATTTTTTTTCTATGGAAAAAAACTCACCTTATTTTTTTCTATGAAAAAACTCACCTCAGGGACCTGAGGTAATTTTTTTCTATGAAAAAAAAACCCACCTCAGGCAGCTGAGGTAATTTTTTTTCTATCAAAAAACTCACCTCAGACAGCTGAGGTAACTTTTTTCTATGGAAAAAAACTCACCTCAGGCAGATGAAGTAACTTTTTTCTATGAAAAAAAAACTCTCCTCAGGGACCTGAGGTAATTTTTTTTCTATGAAAAAAAAACTCTCCTCAGGGACCTGAGGTAATTTTTTTTCTATGAAAAAAACTCACCTCAGGGACCTGAGGTAATTTTTTTTTCTATAAAAAAACTCAACTCAGGGACCTGAGGTATTTTTTTTTTTATGGAAAAAACTCAACTCAGGGACCTGAGGTATTTTTTTTCTATGAAAAAAAACTCATCTCAGGAACCTGAGGTAATTTTTTTATGGAAAAACTCAACTCAGGGACCTGAGGTAATTTTTTCTATGAAAAAACTCTATGAAAAAACTCACCACATGTAGCTGAGGTAATTTTTTTTTCTGTGCAAAAACTCCCTCAGGGGGCTGAGGTAATTTTTTCAATGGAAAAAACTCACCTCAGGTAGCTGAGGTAACTTTTTTCTATGGAAAAAAACTCACCTCAGGGACCTGAGGTAATTTTTTTCTATGGAAAAAAACTTACCTCTGGCAGCTGAGGTAAAATTACTGAAGTAATTTTTTTCCATGGAAAAAGCTCACGTCAGGGAGCTGAGGTAATTTTTTTCTATGGAAAAACTCACCTCAGGCAGCTGCGGTAATTTTTTTCTATGGAAAAACTTACCTCAGGGTACTGAGGCAATTTTTTTCTGTGGAAAACTCACCTCAGAGTGAGTTTTTTTCTATAGAAAAAACTAACCTCAGGCTGCTGAGGTAATTTTTTTCTATGGAAGAACTCACCTCAGGGACCTGAAAACATTTTTTTCTATGGAAAAAACTCACCTCAGGGACCTGAGGTAATTTGCTTGGCCTCTGCAAACTGTACTGGATATTTCACGGAACTTTTAATTGAATTTCTTTGCTTTATTGATTAACTGTTGCGAATTGGTTTTCTTATTCAAGTCTATATATTATAAATAGCTTAAAAGCTTTAAGCTTTCCCTTTTTTCAAGAAACATTATTTTTGCCCGAATTGTTGAGAGAGAGAGCGAGGAGAGTGCAATTAACTTGTTAATCCAATAAAGCTTAATTTGTTTCTATGGGCTTGGGCCGGCTTTAAAGCTTTTTTTACCTGCCTTCGTTACTGTTCTCTTGTTCCCACTCTCTTGCTCAAGCTTTACAATACCTATGACTATTACAACACCGGCTCCAAAGCTTTCATTATTTTTAGTTTTGTGTTTTTTTTGTTTCCCCACAACTATAAATAGTTTGCCCATTTTCGCTCTCTTTAGTTTTCTCCCCACCCAGACTCTCTGTAGTTGTTTATACTCTCAGAGCATAAAGAGGCTGTGCTTGCTGTGTGTGTGTACATTTGCAAGTTTGTTGTTTATTTTTTGCATCCAAAGACAACCACCTTTTTCGGGGGGATATGGTGCGGTGGGGGGTCTTTGCCGCCACTAGTAACACATTATGCCATTGAGCTCTTTGCCCATGCAACCCATCGTCATCGTCAACATCGTCACCACCACCACCATCTCCTCCACCTCCTCCTCCATTTAAGCATTTGCTGCACTCGCTCTTCTCAGCTGACTGTATTCAATGTATACTCATATATTTTTTTCTTTTTCTTTTAAATTGTCTCTATTTCCAGAATTTTCCGGCAAATCAAATTGAAACCTGCAAGCAAACGGTTGCACTTGGCCAACAGCAGCAGCTAGAAACATAGAAAATAAGAACGCTTCAACAAATTGAATTTACTTAACAATTTGTGAATTGAAAAAAAAAAATAGAAAAAAATCAATCACAACAAATACCTAATAATTTGTTGTCTGTGTCAGAAGAGACTGGTGGCTGTTTTTCCGTCGTCTTCGTCGTGTATCCTTACTTTTTTTCCTGTGTCGTCTGCAAATTTCGCCCAAGAATCGTTCAAAATGTCGCGTTTAAGTATTTCGTTTAGTAGTAATTTATATTTTAATTTAAAGACTAAAAAGTTTATGTGATATTAGTTGAAAGACGGACCGACAGACAGACACTAAAAAAGCTATCACCATCGCCATTGTCACAAAAGTCGTTTGGATATTCTTTTCCTGTGTCGCTGCTTAAACGAAAGTTTCCTGGAAGTGAACAGAGGAACTTTTTTTTTAAATTTGGGGATCATCGTCATCATCGTCGTCGAAAGGAGAAAAAATCGTTTCCCCGTTTTTTAAGAGCAAGGCAGAGCATTTGTCATCATCATTCAGGAGAGATTATCTTGGACTGGAGAAAAAGAGAGAAGGTGAGCAAAGCTGTAAATTCAGATCATAACGTAAAGAGAGAAAAAGAGAGATAGATAGAGAGAGAGAGAGAGAGAGAGAGAGCGAAAGCTGAGATCATACACATTTTTCGACAATAATTTAAAGAGAAAATATCAACAGTCTTCAGAGAGGGGAAGAGAGAGAGAGAGAGAAAGAGAGAGTTAGCTCTACAAAAATATTTCAAAATAGCCATCCATATTCACAAAAAATACTCAATAATAGCATATATTGCTGAGAGCTTTATCCATCATTAAAGAGAAAACTTTAGCAGTCATCAGAGAGCGAAAGAGAGTAATAGTAAACAATAGAATTTCCAAATAGCCACTCATAACCGTTAAAAATACAATTAAAATAGCAGATGCCACAGAGATCATTTCAACGATTTTAGAAAGAGAACAACTTAACAGCATTTTGAGAGCAAGAGAGAGAGAAATAGCTCTACTACACTCTCAGCAAAAATATTAAAGGAAATCCCAGACTGAAAATCTTTCTAAAATCAAAGAAAATATCCCTTAATAGTTTAAGACAAAAAAAAAAATAGCTCCCAAAGAACTCAAAAGAAATCTGAGAAAGAGAGAGAGAGTTCCTAAAACTTGAGTTACACTCCTCATCGCAAAAAAATCCCAAAAAGAGATTCACCAGATATCATTGAAAATCTCCAAGAGAACTAGAATAACAAGAGATCATTAAGGAGAGAAAGAGAAGAAATCGCCGAGAAGCAAGAGCAAGAGAGCAAAGTTATCAATTGGCGAGAGAACATCGATACAAGCTTTGAGCCAAGGTAAACAGGGAGAAAAGTTTAGAGGAAAGAAATCCTAAAAAGTCGTTTAATAAAAAGGAACTCCCATTATTGGTCAGAGTTTAAAACCTAAGAAAATTGAGTCTCAGTATCAACAAAGAAAAGTTCCCGGTAGAGAGGAAAAATCGCTTAAAATAGAGAGCTGCAAAAAAATAAGAATTAAATCGTTTTGAGATAAAAATAATAAGTCTTCAAACTACAGTAAAAGGAGAGAGAAAAAACGAAGAGAGAACTGTTAGCGATCTGAGAGAAAGTAAGAGAAAAAATAGGAAATAGAGAAAACATACGAAAAAGACGGACATTTTACCGTTTTTTTGGGAGTTGGAGAAAATATATAAAGAGAGAGTGCTTTGGGAAAAGAGAAAGTTCAATTGCAAAATATTTAGCAAAGAACGATTTAGAGAGAAGAGCTGACTATTGCAAAGAAGAGAACAAATAAACACAAATCTCAGAGAAAAATAGCAGCATTCTCTCAAAGAGAACAAAAAGGGCGAATAATAGCTAAAAAGAGAAAGTTTTGAAAAAGAGACAAAAATAAATAAATAACGGAGAACACTAAAGAGAAAAACTGAATCCTTTTTAAGAGAGGCAAGAAAGCAAGATAAAAACAAAATCAAAAATATCTCAATTTGAAAATTCTCCATTTTACATCTTATTTTTCCGCTAGTGATTATCACCAGAGCACACCCAACTCTCTAACACAAAAACAAAACCGAAGAAAAGAGAACACCCCTCCCTCTCTCTACATTTTCGTATCTTTGGTTCAAAAACAAAAACGAATCCGAAAGACCGCCACAACATCAACAAGAGCCCAATTTCAATTTCGACCAATTGTTACTGCCTAATGGCAAGTAGTTCGTTCAATAAGACGAGACACAGGCGCAGACTGGCTGCGATCTCGTTTCTATCGAATATTTCATTAGATGGCACACATCGGGATACAAAATTCGCAACAATTGGCATCTGTGGCACAGGTACAGGTGCAAGCCATAACGCAACGTCGGCAAGATTACGTGGTCCAGGGACAGGAGGAGGAGTTGTTGTTGTTGGTAGTGGTAGTGCTGGTGGTGGAGGAGGAGCAAAACACGAACGTAACTATCTCGGCGAAAGAGACGAAAATATTCTGTATATTAGCCCAGGAGTGGTGGGTGGAAAGTGCGAAGAGCAACAAGGCCGTGGTGATCCGAACAGAGTGGTGGCGGCCGCAACGACTGGAGGCATTTGTGACAGTATTAATGATGGCAGCAGCAGCAGCGACTACGGCAACAATTACAATTCTGTGGGAGTGGAACTCTTTGGTCCCCAATACACCAACAATGGTGGCGGAGGTGCCAACAGCACCGCAAATGGTGGCATCAACAACAATGGCGGCCAACAAAATTTCTATGGCAAACCCTTCTATCATCAGCAACATTCTCAGCAGCATCAGCAGCGCAATGGCAGTATTAGCAGCGGCATTGGAAAAACCCAGATCCTCCTGGCCTGCGCCCCTCTCGATGAAAACCACATGGACATTGGCTCCGCAGGTGGTGGCGGTGGCTGTGGCAGCGGCAGTCTGGTTGGCAGCGATGATGCCGGTAGTGCAGATGGTGATGGGCATTTTAGTGAAACTGAAAATATGGGTTACAACTTGATAAATGCTGCCCCGGTACCAAACGCTAAAAGCGATGGAGGTCACAAAGCAATGGATAAAATGTCTGCAGCAGCAGCAGCAGCGGCAGCGGCAGCAACTCCTCCTGTCCCACACCAGGAGAAACGCAATGCTAAACGACCCAACTCTGGTCGTCAACAGGGCAATGGCAATCTTAAATGTAATGGTAAACTCAATCCAAGACAACAACCTCAACACCAACAGCAGCAGCAGCAGTATCACCATCAATATCATCATGCGGGCGGCAGTGGTGGTTCCGGTGCCGAAAGCGGCAGTGATTCGGATAGCGTCAAGATACCAATGAAGGTGTCGAGCATGGGGGCTGGCATTTTGATGCCGTTGCGTGAAAGGTGAGTTGAAAAAAAAATTTAAGAAAATTTAGGTTTAAGATTTTGAAGGACCTTGAAAAAAAAATATATTTCCAAAAAAATGAAAACTTTGCTTCATTTTTTCTACAGAAATTAATTCGCCGCATTTCATCAGCAAGTTTTTTCTATGTCAGGAAAAATGTTTTTATAGAAATTAATTCGCCGCATGTAAGAACCATTTTTTTTCTTTAGAAAAAAAATTCGCCGAAAGACGGAACCAAGTTTTTTCTATAAAAAAAAATTCGCCGCAAGTCGGAACCTAATTTTTTCTATAGAAAAAAATTCGCCGCAAGTCGGAATTTAGTTTTTTCTATAGAAAAAAATTCGCCGCAAGTCGGAATTTAGTTTTTTCTATAGAAAAAAATTCGCCGCAAGTCGGAACCTAGTTTTTTCTATAGGAAAAAATTCGCCGCAAGTCGGAACCTAATTTTTTCTATAGAAAAAAAATTCGCCGCATGTCGGAACCAAGTTTTTTCTTTGAAAAAACATTTCGCCGCATGTCAAGACCTAGTTTTCCCTGCAGAAACAAATTCGCCTCATGTCAGCAGCAAGTTTTTTCTATAGAAAAAAATTCGCCGCATCTCAGCAGCAAGTTTTTTCTATAGAAAAATATTCGCCGCATGTCAGCAGCAAGTTTTTTCTATAGAAAAAAAAAATCGCCGCATGTCAGCAGCAATTTTTTTCTATAGAAAAAAAATTCGCCGCATGTCAGCAGCAAGTTTTTTCTATAGAAAAAAATTCGCCGCATGTCGGGACTAAGTTTTTTCATTGGAAAAACATTTCGCCGCATGTCGGAACCAGTGTTTTTCTATAGAAAAATATTCGCCGCTTGTCGGGACCAATTTTTTTTTATAGAAAAAAATTCGCCGCGTGTCGGGACTAAGTTTTTTTCTATAGAAAACCCAAGTTTTTTCCACAGGAAAAATTCGCCGCATGTCGGAACCATTTTTTTCTGCAGAAAAAAAATTTGCCGCTTGTCGGAACCAAGTTTTTTCTGTAGAAAATAATTTGCCGCATGTCGGAACCAAGTTTATGAAATATTTTTTGATGAATTTTATTCTTCCAGACATTGGATTACCAACTATCCATTACATCCAGACTAGGTCAATACGTAATATTTTGTGGCTGGCATTCGTTGGATTCGTTCATTTCGCAAAAATACAAAACCGAAATACACATTTTCAAAACAAATGCATTTTATGGTTTGCAAGTTTTTATTGCCAATACAAAATTTACATGTCTGAAACAATCATCATAAACAATTCGAATACGACGTATGTGTAGTTTTGATGTGCAGTGTGTGCGTGTGTGCATTCGTTTAACATAAATAATACATTTGACCAGGCGTTTAGAACGTGCTTAAGCAAAACTAATTTTCTTTCAGATTTTTTTCGAATAATCAGACGTCCACCCAGATACAATTCAAATCAATTCTATTCTATTATTATTTTCTTTGCCATGAATGAATGAATGCAAGCAGACTATGTTTTGTTGCTGTTGTTGGTTTTTGGCAAAAAATCAATTTCAAAATAAAATTCGGAATAGGACACCATCAAATGATATTTAGAAATTTTGGCTATGATTCGTGACAATTAAAAGTATTTTTGGGTGAATTTTGTAAACGAAAATTAAAAAAAATCAAATGCGGCGAATTCGATTTTTTCTTTTATGAACTGCGGCGAAATTTTCTATCGAAAAACTGTGGTTCTTGGATTTGAATTTTTTCTATAGAAAAAACTTTGTCCTGTCCTCCGGCGATATTTTTTTCTATAGAAAAAACTTTGTCCTGTCCTCCGGCGATTTTTTTTCTATAGAAAAAAGTTGGGACCTGATGGTCCGGCGAATTTTTTTTCGAATTTTTTTTTCTATAGAAGAAACTTGGGACCTGATGGTCCGGCGAATTTGTATCTATAGTTAAAATAAGTTCTAAATACAGGGCGAATTTGCTTCTGAAAAAAAACTTGAAAAAACTTGTGGTCCTGACGGTCCGTCGAATTTTTTTCTATAGAAAAAAAAAAACTTGGGACCTGACGGTCCGGCGAATTTTTTTCTATAGTTTTTTTTTTCGTCGGACAGTCAGGTTCCAAGTTTTTTCTATAGAAAAAAATTCGCCGGACAGTCAGGTTCCAAGTTTTTTCTATAGAAAAAAAAAACTTGGGACCTGACGGTCCGGCGAATTTTTTTCTATAGAAAAAACTTGGGACCTGACGGTCCGGCGAATTTTTTTCTATAGAAAAAACTTGGGACCTGACGGTCCGGCGAATTTTTTTCTATAGAAAAAACTTGGGACCTGATGGTCCGGCGAATTTTTTTCTATAGAAAAAACTTGGAACCTGACTGTCCGGCGAATTTTTTTCTATAGAAAAAACTTGGAACCTGACTGTCCGGCAAATTTGTTTCTATAGAAAAAACTTGATTCTGACACACGGCGAATTTTTTTCTATAGAAAAAACTTGATTCTGACACACGGCGAATTTTTTTCTATAGAAAAAACTTGATTCTGACACACGGCGAATTTTTTTCTATAGAAAAAACTTGATTCTGTCACACGGCGAATTTTTTTCTATAGGAAGAACTTGGTCCTGACGTTCCGGCGAATTTTTTTCTAAGGAAAAAACTTGGTCCTGACGTTCCGGCGAATTTTTTTCTAAAGAAAAAACGTGGTCCTGACGACCGGCGATTTTTTTTCTAAAGAAAAAACTTGGTCCTGACGACCGGCGAATTTTTTTCTATAGAAAAAACTTGTGGTCCTGACGACCGGCGAATTTTTTTCTATAGAAAAAAACTTGTGGTCCTGACGACCGGCGAATTTTTTTCTATAGAAAAAACTTGTGGTCCTGACGACCGGCGAATTTTTTTCTATAGAAAAAACTTGTGGTCCTGACGACCGGCGAATTTTTTTCTATAGAAAAAACTTGTGGTCCTGACGACCGGCGAATTTTTTTCTATAGAAAAAACTTGTGGTCCTGACGACCGGCGAATTTTTTTCTATAGAAAAAACTTGTGGTCCTGACGACCGGCGAATTTTTTTCTATAGAAAAAACTTGGTTTACACTTGCGGCAAATTTTCTTTTAAAAGAAAAATTTGTTCCTAACATGCGGCGAATATTTTTTTATAAAAAAAACTTGGTTTTTACTTGCGGCGAATTTTCTTTTAAAAGGAAAAACTTGTTCCTAAGAGCAAAAAGTTTTCCTAACAAAAAAAAATTCCTAACATGCGGCGAATTTTTTCTATATAAAAAAACTGGTTTCTAATATGCGGCGAATTGTTTTCTATAGAAAAAAATTGTCCTAACATGCGACGAATTTTTTTCTATAGGAATAACTTGGTATTGATATGTGGCGAATTTTTTTCTATACAAAAAAATTGGTTCTGAGGAGGGGCGAATTTTTTTCTATTGGAAGAACTTGGTTCCGAACTACGGCGATTTATTTTCTATGGAAAAAATTAGGTCCTGGCATGCGGCAAATTTATTTTCATAGAAAAATCCAGGTTTTGGAATCCATTATGTTTTTTTTCTTTGGAAAAACTTGATTCTATTATGCGGCGAACTTGTTTCTGCAAAAAATATTTCCTGTCCCGATTTTTTCCGTTTTTTTTTTTAAATAAATTCAAATGATTCATGGCCCGCCAACTTTGCTGACGATTATGCCCAAACCATAATAGACACCAGCAATTTTTGTGACATCCCACCAAGAGTGGGAGGGGTGGGAGGATGCTCGCTCAGGTGTCCTATGGTTTTGACAAAATTATAATAATTATGTCTCATTTTCCGTTGTTTCTTTCTGTCTCTCTCTCTGACAATTGTTTTGATTCGTTTCGAATTTATGGTGACAAATTCTTTGGCGGATTTTTGCGTCATTCGAAATTTCAAATTTTAACAATGTTTAAAATGGCAAGCCGCTGCATTGTTTTAGACAGGTTTATAGAAGCATGTGATTAATTGGGACCATATTAAGTGGATAGCTGCATGTGGGGAATTTTCATCAGGGTACATTAATTTCAAGGGCAAAAGGGTTATACTTTAAGGGCAGAGGAATGGAAGGGGGGAAAATAAGAGCAAATTGTTTGTTTTGGGAAATTTGTAGAACGAAATGTCTTTTTTGTTTAAAAAATGGCGCCCAACGGGGGGCTACAGTAAGAAATTATGTTTCCGATTTTTTTTTTTCTAAAAATTTTTGAAAAAATATTTGTGACCTGAACATAAATTTTCTAAAAAAATATGAAAATATAAGATCAGTTTCTTCTGAAAAAAAATCTTAGAAATTTTTTCAAAATTTTGCCTTTACTGCTGAGGTGCAATCAAAGCCTTGCAACATAATTTCAGCAAAAAAAAAAAAAAACTTTTGAAAAGTCAATGAACTTTATTGGTAGCTAAAAGTTCAGAAACCCCACAGCATTCTTGACAGATCATTCGGCTGTTGTTGTTTTTTTGTTGTTGGTATTGTTGTGTGTTATTGGAATCAGGCAAAATGTAAACAAAGGCAGTAGCTTTTCAGCAGCGACTGCGATATTTTCAAACACAATTCAAATGCGATTAGACATTTTTCAAAACCAATGCAAAAGCTAACAAAACAAAGGCTAACGAGGGAAACGCGGAGAATATAGGGGGGCAACTGATCGCCAAATAGGAGGTGATAAAGCGTTATAAACATTATCGCTCAAATTTAAACACAAACTCACACAGCGGCGACAAAAAACCACAAATAGTGTCGTACAAGTCGCCAACATCGTTTCGAATTTTGTTGTTGTTGTTTTTTTTTTTCGTTGTGATAATTGTGGCATGCAATAAATTTACAAACAACAACAAAACATGTTGTTGTTTTTTTTGCAATTTGAGGTTTGTGGGTTTGCAGTAACATTATTACATTTGAGCTATTTTAAGGCTCATGTTGTTGTTAATTTTGTTTTGTTTAGTTTTTTTTTTTTCAAATTTGTTTTGAAAGGAGTCCAAAAAAAAAGTTGATTGTTCGAAATGAAC